GGCGGCGTTCTCGCGCGGGACCGACCCCGTGGGGGAAAGGAGCGAGCCTGGAGCGCGCGCTTCCTTGCAGCTGATTTGTCCGCTGCGGATTGGAGGGAGCCCCACGGACCGCCCGCGCGCCACTCAGAACCGCCCCGTTGCTAGGAGGAGGAGGAAGGCCGGCGCTAGGCGGGGACTATGGCGGAGCTCGCCGAGCGCAGGAGGGGCTTCGGAGGCGTCGCGAGGCCACGTCAGCCTTTCTGCGCCCGCCCTCCTTCGGGACTGCGACCTAAGAGCCGTGACGGGGCAAAGGGAGGCGGGGGATTCGCCTTGCCTAGAAGCGGTGGCTTGGTTTATCTGCAGTGATTGGCATCGTCGTTTGATGGGGGAAGACCGGCAGAAAACCCCCAGGGCAGTAGCTGATGTCCGAGAAAGTTCTGGAAAGAGGGCAGTCGGTCGTTCCCACGCAGAGGATGCATCCGTGGCGTTTCCAGCAGTTGAGCTCAGTTTGGGGGTGGCCTTCAGTGCGCAGCTCCGCGTATTCCCCCCCCCCCGAGAATGCCAGCGCTCTAAAAAGTGGTCCTCAGGGGCTCCCGGCTAACCTTGAAAATCCTCTGCTCTGAAGGGAACCCGGAACTGATCTTTTGCGGGCTCGGAAATTAAGGAGAGTCGGTCCTCCTTACGAGGGAGATTGGAGATCATCAGGAAATCCTAGGACTCTAGGTTAGTCAAAAAATAGACTGGAAGAAGACAGTAGCAAACGGCTTCTCTGTTGTCGAGAGCGTGTTCCTGAAATCACCGGGAGTCGAACTGCTAACTAAAAGGAAGGAAAGTAAATGATGTTTTAATTACTGCTCTCCTGAACACTGAGGAACAGAATAATTATCAGGCCGTGGGATGATAAAATGAACAATGAACATCTTTGGTTGTCAAGAAACATGCATTAGCTTTACTTTTACCAATGAATTGTAGAGGAATATATCTTTTTTTCTTTAAAAGATAGCTAAACAAACTAACAACTGCAAGCCTCAATTATCTTTTAGAAGATAGCAACTTTACTCTTGTTTAATGAAATAACTTACAAAACAAGCAGCATACAAAAAAGCTTTAATGTTTCAACTAGAGGTTTTGTAACAAGGCAAGGAAAATTATTTAACAAATTTTAAAAAGTCATAATTAGATAAATATAGAGATAGATAAATATTTCTGTATTTCCTCCCAGAGCTGTCTAGAATAATAAGGTAATATAAACAGGCTGAAATAAAGCTATTGCAATGAAAGCAACAATCCTTGAAAATAATAAATATTAAAATTAAAAAATGTAAAACATAATTACAATTTTAAAAAATCTGTCCCTGAAGTACTATACCTACAAATGCCTACTTTGTGATCAATAAAAAATCTGTTTTTCGTTTGTTAGAACAGACGATACCATAGGAGAGAGTTATCAAATTTATTTATCAAAATAAAATAAAGATAATAAAGAGAAACAAGATTACTATAGTAGGGATATTCTGGAGTACCTGAACAAGAAAGTAGGGGTGAAGGAGCTTGGCAGCATTTCAAATTATCTTAAAGGTGAGGAAGGAAGTTATCTCCTGGGCTAGAAACAGAAGATGATGGGCATTTTAAAATGGTTAGGGCTGACTGAGTCAAAGCATCTATGAAGGCTATTTTTCCAATGGAGAGAATAGCAAACCTTTACCTGACAACAGTAAATCCAATTAGCATTCTGTATTTAAGCTTCTGTATATGTCAGCCATAACTAGACCTGAAATTGTCACAGTTGTGCAGAAAAGTAAGTGCATGAACCAGAGTGACAGGACTGTAGTCAAAAGGCTGGACAGATGTGTTAAAGGCACTGCTGACTTCAAGCAGCATCCCTGAACTTATTGGCTATGCATATATACTGCAGATAGAGCTGATCACTGCCTATAAGTAAGTACTTGTTCTCTTCTATGGTGCTGAAGCAATCAGTTGGTCAGCAGAAAGCAAGTGGACCTGTCCTCCAACAAAGCCAAGTACATTTCAGCTAGTGAAGTCATATGAATTTACAAATTGCTACAAGGTTTTAGAGTACTGAACCTGAGCCTATAGTAATATTTGAAGGCAACAAAAGTCACAGAAAGAAAAGATGAATTAAAAAGTGAAGCACCAAATGGCACTATGGACAGAATGTACAAGAGCAAGGAATTCAGGGACATCTCTCAGCTCTCCAGCCCATTCTCCAATCTTCAAATTTCCTGGTGGTCTCCCATCAATACCTACCCAGGCACCAACATGATTAGCTTCCCAGCCCACACAAAATCGCACAAGCTCTGCTTTTTGCCGCCTTGCAACATGTCACAAAGCCTTCGCTCACCTCCTGCTTGCTTTGTTCGTGGGAATGGTGCAGAGCCAGTTTGGTCTAGTTTGGTCTAGTGGTTAAGGCACCAAGCTAGAAAGCAGGAGACTCAGTTCTAGTCCCACCTTAGGCACGAAAGCTAGCTGGGTGTCTTTGGGCCAGTCACTCTCTCTCAGCCCAACTCACCTCACAGGGTTGTAGTGGGGAAAATAGGAGGAAGGAGTACATTCATGTTATGTACGTACATTATGTATGTTCACCACCTTGAGTTATTTATAAAAATAAGAAAGGCGGGATAAAAAATCTTTGAAAAAAATATCAGTTTATAGTACTGTTCCACGGAACAAATGATAGCTTATGTGCTGGCCTAGCCACTGCCCCATGACTGGTTCCAGATGTTTTGAGAGAAGATAGGAGTCATAAGGGGGCGCCTGAGACAATGACAAGGAGTAAGGAATGTTGGAGATGTGTTTTATCTTCGCACCTACTCTAGGACAAATGGTGAGCGATGCATAACGGGAAGGGTCTATTTGTTAAATGAGTCTGTGTTAAAGGGATAAAGAATAGTTTTCATTTGTCTTGTGTTTCCCTCTTTCAAGGAATAGTTAGGATAGAAGTGAGACTTTTCTATCTCTGTAGTAATAAATCTAATTTTTGCTTCAAATATAATGAATTAATTTTTTGTTATGAACAATTTTTAATGAACAGATCTGCTACTTAATTATTCAGCATTCATTCTGTACTCAGGCACATAACCTCTAACAAGGGCTCTTGCTGAATTCAGAATCTCCAACAAGTTGGCTCCCCTGCTCCTCTTTTATACCATTAACATGTTCCTGTATCACCCCCACAAACATCCACTCACCCCCTTTCGTTTCCTCACCCACTTCTTACTTTCTAACATCATCCTAACTACACTCTCCCCTCCATGGTTCAGCCTCTTACTAGGGCTTTGGTGTGGGAGTACACCTCCCCCTTTAAATCCCTGGGTGAATCCCTGGGAGTACACCCTACCTCTTGAATCCCTGAGCATGTGGCTTCAGCCTTCTCCAGAGACAGCCTTCTTCTATTCTGTTTCCACAAATGGCAGCAGCAAGGTCCAACCCAGCTGGCATTGCCTCTCACCTATCACTCACCTCCAGTCTGGCTCGGTGGAGCTGCTTGTACTCTTCTTTCCCTCCTCACTGCCCTTTGTCACTTCTCCAGGGCCTCTTTTTAGCTGTTGCTTTCTAGATTCCCCTTCCAGCTAGGGTCCAGTAGCAGCCTCCTTTTCCATAGTCCACAGGAAATAGTCTCGCTTGGAAAACTTCCCTCAACCTTGTTGGCCCTCTGGAGGGCTTGGATAATGCTACATAGACAATGCCACTGCTGTTATTGCTCTACCTTAAGTTTCTTTTTTGTTGTAATGCTTTTAACTCTAATTGTGTTTTCATTGTTTTATGTGTATACCGTTGAGAGATGCATGATCACAGCAGTATAAAATCCAATAAATAAATGGTACAACTAGTAAGTTACTCAAAAACTTCAAGTGGCTAGGAAAAGAGTGATGATAATAAAAGTGATTTTTAAGCAACGTACTAACTATCCAAGATTCTGGATGGGCTCCCTACTGAAATCTACTCACATTAAATGGTTCCACTCAAGGAGACCATCCCGGTGAATTCACATTCATGGCAGGTACAAAAACAAAAACCATAGACGATTTTTCAGTCAATAGAAATCTATTACCGCCTGTGGGGAAATGTAAAGTTCTTCCCTATTTTGACAGTGACCATCTGCCACTTTGTCTAAACCTGAAGTCTCCCAGTCAGGGGACACATCTTGAAACCCAGTGTACCCCTGAAATTAGTTGGCCAAGCAAGATGCCGGGCCAAATGGACTCTACAACTTGACTAAAAGCTGAAAAAGACGCTTGCAGAGGAGAATATGCAGACTTGGCGAGCAGCTTTTATAACAACTACCGTATTTTTCCATCAATAAGACCCCCCCATGTACAAGACGACCCCCA